AGCTGCGACTCGAGCGAGCCCACCAGATCGCTCACCACTTTCTCGTCCACCTCGCTGTTGAAGAAGACCTCGTCCAGCAGATCCGAGCCCGCCGCCATCTTTCCTCCTCGCCGCCGCCGCCGCCGCCGCTCGGCCGAGCGCGCCTGGGCAGGAGGAGGTTCCAAGCGGGGCGCGGGGCGGGCGGGGGGCGGTGCGCGGGGCGGGCGGGGGCGCGGCGCGCAGGGAGGGGGGAGGGGCGGCCTACAGCGCAGGCGCGCCGACTCGCACCGCCCCCGCCCGCACCCCTGTGGCCTGTGATTGGCTGCGGCTGGCTCTTAAAAGACGCGGCCAATGGCTGCGAGCGCCAGAGGCCCGGGAGCAGGCGAGGTGCTGGGTGCTGGTCGGCTGTTGGAGCGTGGGTGGGAATGGCAGCGGAGCCGGGAGAGCGGCGGCGCTCGGCGCCGGGTGGGTCGCGGCAGCCGGCTGCGGGGTTCGCCCTTTGTCTGCACCCTTCCAAAATGGCTGCGGCCAGGGCGGGCGGCGACAGCTGCGCGAGCGCTCCCGGGGCCCCGGCGGTCAGTGAGGAGCTTGAGTCCTGGCACGAAGACGCTTTCGGGGCGGAGAGGTGCGCAGAGGACGCCGCGGACGCGACGGGTCAGCTCGCCTGACTTACAGCGGTTAGTACGAGGACCGTGCACACCCCGGGCGAAGCTGGACATCCGGAAGCTGATTTGTTCTTTATTTACTTTTCTCGTGGGGGAGGGGGTAGTAAATCCTCTAAACTGATGCTTGCAAGCACTTCGTGGGAACAATTTCGTTACCGTTTCTCCCCTTTCTTCCTGGGTGTTTTCTTAACCAAAAGACCGTCTTATTGGACGTTGCTATGGATTTTGTCTTCCCGTTTTTTTTGAAAAGGCCGAAAAACAAATTCCAGATGGTAAAGCTTCTTGATGGGACCTCACTACAACTGACCCTCCCAGAATCATCGTCACTTCTGAAGAAAGACTTGCCACAGTCTGCACAGATCTAGCACTGCAGAATGAGGAATCTGACATTTGACATTGTAAATTTTTTTTCCCCTTTGGTGCCTTGAAAGAGACGATTCCCACCAGCCCGTACTACCTATACACACCATCCCTGCACTTGAGAGATGAAGGCAGGAGGATGAGGAGTTCAGCCTTTGTTATGTATTTAGTTGGAGGCCAGCCTGGGGTCTGGTCAGACCCTGTATCAAAAAGGTGAGGTGAGGACTCTTCTCTCAAAGCAGAGTATAACTCTCAGCCTGTGTGCTGATTCTATCCCAGCCTTTTAAACTAAATGAGTTATATAACTACTATACAAACCCCACCCTACCCCAGCTGTTCTCTAAGCAATAGTCTACCTAAGGAACTGTGCACATCGAAGCCAGAAAAAAAAAAAAAAAAACGGTGCCCTCACTTGCAAAGTGTGCTTGCGAATCCTTAAACAATAGAAATTTTGTACTTGAACATTAGTCTCCAGGTTTGGGAAGTCAGTAAAAAGAGACAGTGAGGAAACAGGTTGGCTGGTACAAGCCAGTATAGGCTTGACGTGAGGAACAGAAATTCACGTTTGTAAATAAAACCCAAGAGTCTTCTTTTGACGAAGGAGAACAAACTCAGGGTCAAGAACATCCTTAGCGAGTGGGACACCACTTAGTGACAGCCCCCAGCCCCAATATGGAATTTTTCACTCTTGATGATGATTTGAAGATTTTCAAGTGGACCAGATAATCAGCAAGTTCTTGCTAGTTCACTTAATGCTGGTTAATGGGAACTACCAGTTAGGTGTACAGCAGCCTGTACCCCGAAACCCTTAGGTGACAGGGAACAAAACAATGGAACACCTATAGCAAAGCCCAGGCTCTGGAGCTCACAGGCCCTCTGGTGACTGGTGATTCCCAGTGCCACACCCCTACCCTGCATGTCCATTGCTGCCGTGGTACTAAGATCTTTCCTGAGGGCAAGCATTGTCCTCTCCATAGGCCCATCAGGATGTGTCTCCAGTGTGGTCCCAAGCCTTTTCAAGGGGACAAAGCCTTCTTTCAACCCTAAGCATCTGTTGATAACACTTACAGCCCCTGAACCACCAAGAGTTAAGTTACAGATGTAGAGCTTAGGGTCTGTGCCCACCAACACCTTCATTCCTTACTGCAGAGCCCAGTATGGGAGCCACAGTTCAGGCAGCTGTTTTCAAGGACACTGCCCTTAAGACTGAAGTGGGCGGAGCCAAAAAGTCCTCCCCTCCTCAAAATCTATATGCAAGGGCCAGTAGACACTATTAGGGTCTTAACCTTTGTTACTCTGGAGACTAAAGGACAAATTTTTTTTAACTGTCTCTCCCTTTGATAGGGTGCCACAGGCCATTATGACTTCCGTAGTTTGAAGCTGAAAATTCCAGAACTGGCATTAAAAGAGAAAAGGACGAGTCATTCAGTATGAAGTATAAAACACCTCATTTTGTAGAAGCAGAGGACAACTTTTAGGAGTAGGTTCTGGCCAACATAGGCTCAAGGGATCAAATTTATATTGGGCTAATATCACAATTACTTTTGTCTGCTTAGTCATCTCACCAGCTCCATAAGATGTTTGTTTAATTAAAAAAAAAAAAGTAAATTTTTAAGAAAGGCACAGCAGAGGGGATAAGGAGATGGCTCACTTGCTGAAGTGACAGAATATGAGTTGAATCCCGCCCACATGAAAATGCTGGGTGTAGCAGCATACATCTGTAATCCCAACTATGAAGAGGGGGACTCACAGTATCCCTGGGTCCCACTGGCCCAGATAGTGCAGTGAAATACCCTGTCTCAAAAGATAAGAATGACTGAGGAATACACCTGTATACCTGATACTGACCTATAACCTCCATGCACGTGCACATACCACACATGGTGTTGGGGGTGGGGGGGGTGCACTAGATGGTAGCTGGAGACCTTGAGCTGGTTCCCGCTTCTGGGTGATTGTGTCAGGCTCCCTTGCCTTGCGGTGGCTTCAGCCATCTCCGGCCTCACCTGCCTGTGGTCTCTCCTCTATTTTGTTTTGACACAGTGTCTTGCTGTGTTGCACATGCTAGCCTTGATAGGCTCCTTCCATCCTGTCAGCCTTTCACATAGCTGGTACCTCTCATCTTCAAATGATGCCAGTCCCTGGATTTGGGACCTACCAGATTCCAAGATGATTTTGAAAGGTTTTTTAACACACTACGACTGCAAAGATAATCTCCTCCAGAGGAGTTTATTTGTGTTATGGGTGGGTGTGAGTTGGGAGAAGGGTCATTCATTATTCAACCCTCTACACCAGTGTGTCCCTGTAAGAAGAGAAAAGCCTTGAAAAAGCCAGAAGGCATTCGTTGGCCTATCCAGTCTCTCATGCTTATACAAAAGCCTGAGGCAGCTGGAGTAGAATACAGGCTGGAAGCATCTGGAACAGAGTCCAGTTGCTGCCCTGCATGCCCAAGAAAGTAACAGCATTCAAGTATGCCTATTCAAGACTCCTTTGCTTGGGAGCAGGCTTGGGTGGCCACCAATCTTAGGACTAATGCATTGAGTACCCTCTGCAAGACCAAGTTCATGGCTGGATCTCACTCTTGGTAAGGGTAGAAAGCCAAGTCTCGGACACTAAGTTGCTGGGCACTGGTGGCACTCTTCTCATGCCTAGGTTAACCATCCTTCTGTCCACATGTCATACACAAATAGACATCATGGGTCTGGTGCCTGCTCCTGCCTTCTCCTTCTGAAACTGACCCTGGTCTCCAGAGCCAGCTGTCTACAAAACTCCAGAATGACTCATGACAACATTCTCTTGGCTGACTCCCACAAAGGACTAACTATAGCTGTGTGACCGGGTTTACAGTTCAGCTCAGAGGAGCTCACTCAGAGTGCATGAGGGAGCCTAGCCCGACAGCATGCCTGCACCTGCCTTCCTGAGCCTCCACCTCCCCTGAGTGCTTCATCATCAGCCTCACTTCCAGAGAAAGCTGGCCATACCTCCTGCTGGGTGCAGTGGGGCTCTGCTCTGCCCCCCATTCAGCTCACATGTCCAGTTTGTAACATCCTATCTCAATCTGGAACAGAGAATAGTGGTACACACATATAATCCCAGCACTTCAGAGGTGGAGACAGGAATTGTTCAAGGCCAGCTTAGGCTATATAGTAGTGTGGAGAGCAGCTGGTCCACATAAAACTCTGTCTCGAAAGATAAATAAAAAATAAACAACAATTAAAACAAACCCCAGCAAACCTCAACTCACATCCCTGAAAACTTTGTGCCATTACATGTTGAATGGTCATATTCAAGGCTTGGTGGGGAGCCACTAAGTTCAAGGCACAGTCCAGGCCACTTAAGCAGATAGTGAGATCCCTATGTCACTGAGGATACACCCTAAAAAGAGGGTGGAGCCCAGCACACTTTTCGCCTCGCTGTGACAGTGACAAAAGAGCCTCATTGAGGAAAAGCTTACTCAGGTGCAGCATGCCAGAGAAGACATGACAGGAGAACAGCCCGTAGATTGCAGCGTCAGGAGCTTGAGAATGCCTGTAACCCACAAGACAGGAAGCAAGGCCTGGCTGCCATACTTCAAGGTCTACCCTCTGAGCATCCTCTTTCATCCACCTAGACCCCCACCTCCTACAGGCATCAGCAGCTGGGGACCAACTGATCAAACGGTTGACCACTTAGAATGTGAAATACAAGTTGAGTGGTGACACGGCTTGAATCCCAGCAGAGGCAGGCAGACAGCCAAGGGCACACAGAGAACCCAGTTACACGTAAAATAAAAACTACCTCAGTATGAAATGAATGAAAAACATGAGACCTGTAGTCGGATAGTCTTAAACATAACTGAGGTATTTTGAAGAGCAGGGGAGATGCCTCAGTGGCCAGGTGCTTATCATGCAAGCCTGAGCCAGAGTTCAGATCTGCACAGCTTCTGTAAAAGGCAGGCAGATGTGGCAGCCACCTGTAACCCCAACACTCAGGAGGGAGACTAGATTCCCAGATCAAGCTGGCTAACTAGCTGGAATTGGTGAGCTCTGGGTTCGTCAAGACAGACTGCCTGCTTCGGTGAATGAAATGGGAGGCAATCAAGGAAAACACGACAGACATCAACCTCAGGCCTGCACACGCATGCAAACATTGACACTGCACACAGAGTAGATACCTAGAGGAATGTACCAAATTAAAGAATGAGAAGTCTCGACATTGTAAAAATGCCATTTCTCCCCAGTATCAGCTACAGACTTGGTGGGAAATGCAGTTTAAACCCCAATTGTTTTGCTTTTTTTTTTTTTTTTAATCACTGATCACAAAAGTTGACAAGCTGGGCTTGTGTTTCCCACATGGCAAGACTAACTCTCCCTTGGGTCATACCTCAAACTCTGGGTGAGATGATATTAACATTTGCCCAGCTTTCCAGAGCACGACTTCAGGTGCAGGTTCTGGAAAGGGCCAGCACAGGACAGGGACCTGTGCCTGGAGATCCGCTAAGGTCAGAGCATGGTCCAGGCCACTTAGGCAGAAAGAAACTCCAAAGATCTGGATGTCAAAGCTGGGTGTCACCCCTCTTCTGAAGGTACAGGGCATTCTAGAAAAGAAAAAGCTTGAGAAGGGGAGATAGAGTTGGGCTTACAAGTGTTGCCTCCGTCTCCAGTTGGACTCTGAGCCATGTACTGGGGAGATTCAAAACAGCATAGCTCAGAATAAGACATAAGAGGAGATAATAAACAGCTGTCCAAGTGACAAATGAGGACTTGGGTCTCAGTCCCTCAAGTCAGCCATCAGGGTACCAAAGTAATATTATCCTAAAGTAGAGGTGGAACGCACACCTTTAATCCCAGCACTCAGGAGGCAGAGGCCGGGAGATCTCTGAGTTTGAGGCCAGGCTGCTCTACAGAGTGAGCTCCAGGCTGGCCAGAACTGCACCGAGAAATCCTGTCTCAAAGAAAATGTTTAAATAAATTTAAAAATCATCCATTCTCAACAGAAGTAAGGAAATTAACCTGATGGGATTAGTATGTAAGGATTATAAAGTAGCTGTGGGCTATGGAGATGGCTCCGTAAAATGTTTTCCTTGCAAGCGTGAGGGCCAGAGTTTCATCCCCAACAAAAAAATTCAAGCTGGGTCTGGTGGTTCATCCTTTTTTTTTTTTTTTTTTTTTGAGACAGGGTTTCTCTGTGTAGTCCTGGCTGTCCTGGAACTCACTCTGTAGACCAGGTTGGCCTTGAACTCAGAAATCCTCCTGCCTCTGCCTCCCAAGTGCTGGGATTAGTGGTTCATGCTTTTAATACCAGCATCCAGAGACAGGTAAATTGCTAGGAGTTTGAGGCCAGCCAGAACTGCATAATAAAACTTTGTTTCAAGAACAAAAGAATAATTTTTTAATTCTAAAAATAAATAAATAAACTCATGATCCAGTTCTGGGGAATTAGAGACAGGGAGATCCTTGGGGCTCTCAGGCCAGTCAGCCTAGCTCATATTTTTTAGATGAGTGAGAGACCCTGTCTTAGAAAAAGACAGACTGAAAGAGGTCAGTGGGTTAGAGTGCTTGCTATGCAGGTATGAGAATCTGCGTTTGGATCCCAGCAGCCATGTAGAAAGGCCAGGCATGACTCCATACACACCTGTACTGCAGTGCTTTGAGGAACAAAGACAAGGAGATGGCCTGTGACCTGCCTGAGAAGATCCAGGTCTAGTGACACATGCAGTCTCAAACACAAAGTCCTTTGTCCTCTGCACACCTGTGCATGTAACTGTGCATATCACACACGCATGCATGCATGCAAAAAGCAAAAGCAAAGAAACTGTCCTGAAGAACTCCTGAAGTTGTCCTCTGGCCTGCATGTGTGTACATACACACACATGTGAACATACTCCCCTACACACACACAAACACATTTTTTTAAATATTTAAAAGCTAGACAGTACCTAAGGAATGCCTGGAGTCGTCCTCTGTCACACCCCTACACAAATATGAACACAAATAAAATTGAAATATAAGACAACTACTAGAGCAATAATATCTGGCATAAAGAAAAATAGGCTTTCAACCAATGAAACATTTCTTTCGCAACATAACTAGAAACTGTTTTAAGTTTATATTCTGGAACTGAGATAAAACTCAATGATTGGGCCATGAATTGATAGAACTCATCAAATCTGAAACAGAGAGGTGAGAAGTTGGGGCAATGTGCCAATGTCTATGTGTGCGTTGCTGTGTGACAGTGTTTATGTGTAACAGTGTCTGTGTGCATTGCTGTGTGACAATGTCTGTGTGCGCATTACTGCGTGACAGTGTCTGTCTGTGTATTACTGGAATTACAGAGAAAACAGAAAGAGAGGGGGAGAGCCCTGGAGGGAATCATGACTGGGATTCTGTCTAGTGAGAGATACACACTTACATTTTTATAAATTCTCTGAACTCCCACAAGAATAAACTCACAGGAAAGTAGAGGTATGTGCAATGTGGTCAGATATATACCTGATCTGCATACCAAGTGCCAGGCCACTGAGGACTCCACAGTGAGACCTATCTCGAAAGAACAAAAATAAAGTGTTGGAAAGATGCCTGTCGACCAATTTAGATATATCAGACCTTTTAAG